TCAACAACAGGGTTGTATAAATGCCATATGGTGCTCACTATGGTTAACACATACCATCGGTGGAGGACTGACTGCAGGCAAAAGCTTGTTTAACTGCTGCATTTTTTTTTTAACTCACTAAGGCTTTATTGCACATATAGTAACAAGCTATAGAATTGTTAAAGCTGAGTCATGTTTCACTTGAGCCGATGTCAAGCTCTGCTCCACAGCCTCTGCCTGCGGTCTGCCCTCGGTCAAACACCAGAGGCCAGATGCATAAACAATGTGTACACACAAAACCCATGTGTATGCCGATATGTAAAAACACACCATGTCTGTGAATAATGTGTGCACCTCATGCATACTTCAGAGCACACGTACACATGGTTTGAGTAAATGCAACATCACTAATCTAGCAATAAGTCTTTACAGGTGTGTGATTAAGTTATAATACACTACTCCTCTGCTCCAAACTGACAGTACTGATAGCCTCAGAGCAGCTCTTCTTCTGTTCCTGAACCCTGAACAGAAACTATCAAATAAATCATCCTTTCTCCACCTCTCAGTCTCACACTCACACTGACTGAAATAGTGCTTCTTCTTTAGCAATGCTTTCATTGCCGTGTCTAATACGGGACTGAAATAGTGCTTCTTCTTTAGCAACGCTTTCATTGCCGTGTCTATGGTTCAGAGAACACTTCCATATGCAAATGACTGATTAAAGGGATGTCTACATGCATTTATGGCTGAAGGTGGTAGTGGAAAAGAAGCTCACACACATACACCCAATTCCACTATAAGTGGAGATTTATAAAGCAGAATCAGGCTTTATACTGCAAATCTGATGAAACAACGCATAAGCTCACTTCTTTCTTAATGCATACACAGTTTCAGTCATTGATCTACACCAAGTTTTATGCATCTAACCCCAGGAGAAGCCACCCCATAAACACCAAAACCATGCTGTTCAATCTACTAATCTCACTCATATAGGCCTACTGATAAAATGCTCCTCACAAACAGAGAACCCAAGGAACTTGAAGTCCGTTGCATCAGTGTGCCCAAATCATTTTTCACATTAGAGCAAACTGTTTTTTTGAATATTTTTACTTGCATATGCTAATGAAATGCTCACACCATAGAGCCCTTATTTAACCAGTCAGCGATGTGCAGCACTGCAGGCCCAACCCTGATAGCTCTTGGACCTTCAGAGAGCAATACCCCCACAAAGTAGGTACTTATATTTTTTTAGGGATAGAACCACACTCCAAAACCAAATTTAGGCCGTGGATGCTCCGGTGGAAACGCAGGTAGAGGAACTACAGTATGTTCCAAAACAAGGTTCCTGCTCCGAAATAGAGCATATGAGCGGATTGGAGCAGTGAGAATTTCTGCTCCTCGCTCACAGAGCTCTTCGCCCGTTCTGCCTCTCTGCTCAAAGCCACACCAGGCCACTCCGTTCATTATCGCTCAATGCTCAACTCAGACTGGCTCTAGTTCCACTCAAATCATACCCACTCAATCCAAAAAAGGGGGGCAAAAAAATCTGCATGTACTTCACTTTTAGCCTAAACCGCAACCTTGCATCCCAAAGAACTACTTTTTTCCAAACAGAAATGATTTATTTCAAATTTCAGTTAGGCTGATGTAACAAGGAACACACTACAAAGTCATGGGTAAAATTCTATGAATCAATGGGCCTAATTAAATATAAATACATAGTACATCTGTATGACCTTTCAGTTTCCTTTTTAGAGTACTTTAGGAACTCCATTATTGAGCTCACAATGGCTGATTTTTGACTGAAAAGTATTAGATGACATAGGTCGACACACCCTCTGCTCTGCGCTCTGTCCAAAATCCACCTGCTTGTGCTCCCCGCTCGCTTTGCTCATATGCTCTGCTCCCCAGGGAACGTTCCTCCGGTGGAAACAGGGCTACAGCAAGCAATCTGGAGACATCACCCCAGGCTCTGCGCATCTGTAATAAGCTTTTTTTAAAATAACTATTTGCATACGTTCTACAGACCAAATGATTATTTAAGATATCTTGGTCCAGCTTTTTCACAGTACTGTGAAGTGAACACTATCAGCACCTGTCAAGTTTCCACTAGAAACAGATATCAACATGTTAACAACCTTCCTATAGCATCGGCTAGTGTATCCTTACTCACTCTTCCAGCATACTTGTCCTATCAGTTATGCATTAAAGAAACACCATACACTGAAAGAGTGCAAAATGTGAAGAAAACATTTTAGTGCATCAGGTTTGTGCGATTTCAGATACTTTATCTGAAGAAAACCACATTATATGTATTTTTACCTTTCCTCAAAATATTTACAATACATCCGATAAATTACTGTTCTGGAAGACAGTTTCCCCATTACCTAGAGAGCCTGTTAAACAGTGTATCTCAGGAATCCTTTCACACAGAAAATCTGGGTATTGACATCAAGTTCACTTACTGTGCCTGCTGTGTCAAGAATTTCAAGCATACATTGCTGCCCGTCTACCTCCACTTGCTGTTGAGAAAAAAAACAGAAAAATGGACTAAGGTCAAGTAATTTCAAGTTGCATAATATTCTGTTTAAAATAGAGCACACTATCAAAGGCAGAGAGAGACAAGCAACATGAAGACATAAATGGTAAGAAAGAAAAACTGAAGTAGAAAGAAGGCTGTGACATGACAAAACAGGAGTACAATATCATGACATTAACATGAAGAGTAGCTGCCAACAATCAGCTCACTCCCAACCAGTACTCCCTGCCTCACATTCCCCTCCTCGTGGGATACTTACCTTTCTGTACGAGTCTTCTATTGTAGGGTCATATTTTTCCACAAAGATTCCCTGTACAAACTGAACTGTCTGTAAGAAAAGAGACAGAGCAAGGCAACATCAGATCAATGTGACCTTCAGGGCACAAGTACAAAATGTGACAAATATGGCCAAAGGGCCACATCTCCTAGTTGTGCTTTGAGTCACACTGGGTTCACCAACTTTCATTACAACAACCTGACAGGACATCTGGAGTCAGGACGTTAATGAACATCGTAGGACACAGACAAGATGCAGAGAGAGTTCAACTAAAGCAGAGTACATTCATTTTATTGGCATCTGTGACTATATGCAGACAAAACATATGTGCTGTGCTATATAAATGACTGTGCTTAGTGGTAAGTTTACATTAGGGGCAGACAGAATTCACCTGATAACTTCTTCGGGTCATGTACATGTCAGGAAACAGAAACTTATTACCAAATTTAGTTAAAATAGAAATTTAGGAAGGGGACAACTTCACATGTGCTCCTCTGACTGGTCTTCTTTTACCAGTTTCCTCCAAAAGACAGCCACATGTCTTGCTGCTTCACCGATAAGCGAGAGTCAAACACACTACAGATGTGTCAGAGACATAGGAAGGCAGGAAGGGGATCAGGAGGGACTGGATACTCACCAGAGCGGATTTGCCCACACCTCCAGAGCCTAACACCACGAGCTTGTATTCACGCATGGCAGGATTGCTTCACTGGACAGCCCAACAGTCTGCAGTGGACAGAGAGGGAAAAGAAAAAAAAATGGGACACACAAAATGAGAAAGGTGTATTAAAAAAAAGAAAGTTTAAAAAGGGATGAAACAAAACAAAAAACTTCTGCTCAAAGTAACTTGGTTTTCAAGCAAAACAAAGGATTTTCTCAGTCTAGTCTGAGTTTTTCCACTGCAGAAAGGAAGGATTCTAGTCATTCCTGGAAGTTATGGAAAAGACGCAGCACAACAATAGAGGAAACACCCATTAGTGGAGCCGCTCTGGGTGGAGGTGAGGAGTATGTGACCCCTCTCTAACATGAACCACCGCTTTGGGGTGTTATAGGGGGGGGGGGGGGGGGGGGGGACTGAAGAGAAGATGACACATCTGGCAGAAATTCCTCCAAATTACAGTCTGGCCTCAATATGCCAAAACACACCCTGATGTCAGATTTTTAATCACACACTCATTTGCTGTATTGTAAAACAGCAATACATCATCGGGTTTCTGATTAATGACAAAACAGCTGAGGGAAGTGGAAAGGAAATGTTGAAAACCACTGGAATAGCCCTTTAAGGGACACGGCGGCTTCGAGTCACTGGCGCACACTGTGGCATAAAGTCATTTGGGTTAGCCAGATAGGTTACTACATAGTGAGACTCCCTCACCAAGGTTTAGTTGTAGCTGGTTTCAGATACTTTGTCTGCTAACACATGATGGATTTTACAATGGAATATATTTTCTCAACTCATGGAGAAATACTTTTCCTTGAACATGACTCTCACTGGGCAGTTACAAAACAAGCCATGTATTACTCTTAGAGCTTCCGCTGACATTATACAATCAACTACATCTCCATCAATGAATAAAGTAAAACCAATAATTAAAATAAACCTCCCTACCCCAGACATGCTCCCAGTCCTTCAGCACACAACTCATGTACTGCGAACATGCAAAAACAGATAAAAGAACCATGAGAAATTAAATGACAAAAAAGAAAGATCCCTAAATTATTTAAAACCCAACAAGCACTGGAACAATTGATCTGTTGCTCTGACAAAGATACAAATACAACATGAGTCACAGCCGTTTGCTATGACTGGAAAGAGCCAAAGGAGTTGAAAATCAATTTCACAACACTGAAAATAGATCTGACTTTCATTAATAACTCAAAAAGTGGCACATACAGTGTATCCCTGGATCTTGACTTATACATACATGCCTTTATCATAACAATGTGGAAGTAGTTAGTAAAATCTCAAATTGCACCGGGGGCCAAAACTCAAAGCACACTTTAGGTTGCGGGCTGAACAGGATAAACATTTATTGAACAGACTAAAACTAAAAGGTTTTTTGAACATAAATATGAATGGAAACAGGGTACAATATTATTCCAAAATAAATAAACTTAAAATCATCAACCGTATTTCTGCTAAGGGTCACATTTACAGACACCTGCTTTTTGTCTGGACACAAGACGTCACACACTTTCATCATGCAGCTCTTCAGAAACTCTCCCTTGGTAAATGGCCGGGCTGATTTTCTCCTCTGCCGCAATAAAACCTGCTTTGTATGAATTTGTATGAATATAACCACAGGTAGATGATAACAGTAAACACAATCATGAGCATACTGGGCATGGTATTACACCATCCTGTGGCCCTCTTCTCGTACCCAGTCTCGAACCCACCTACTGACACTGCCACCCCAACAGAAGGGCCAGGAAACACACCTGTCAGTTATTATCTGGACTAATTTTTTGCATCGTTGATTAATAACCAATAACAAATCATTAATAATTATTAAATAACTTGATTATTCTTTTCTTGATTGGTTAGATTTTTTTTTAAATCTGAATTTACCCATATTCTTAAATTGCCCAGTTTCCTAGAGTTCAATGTTAGATTTTTAAATGTCTATTAGTCCAAAACCCCAAAATGACAAATAAATTATTCAATTTTCAAAATATTTTTCTGTCCATTGACTAATAGGTTAATTAGCTGTTTTAGCTCTGTTTTGGGAGTTGCAGACCATGGCAGTTGCCATCCTTATGGCTAAATGTACCACATTTTTCCATTTACTGATACAGCTGACCTGTGGCTGTGCAAGTCTCAAACTTTCTTCAGGAAAAAAAATATATATTAAACACCAGGTTTTCTTTAGTACACATCAGAGGACTGGTAGCTTGTTTTAATGAACCTTGATCTCAAAACTAGGGAGTCATCCTTTTTTTTAACATCAAGACTGAGATGAAAATCACAAAGTGGCTGAGATTAAAATCAGATCGCAAGCAAAACGGTATAGCATTGCTTGCTAATCAGCTCTTTTGCAAACCATCAAAAGCTAAATCGCTAGCCATTGTTGGAAGCAGATGATCCCCTCCTACACTGATCTTTTTAAAGCACACTCCATTGAAATACTCGGGGGCGAGGACAAAGAACTAAAGGACTTCCAACTTCAATCAGCAGCAGTGACCATGGGGGATATGAAGTGTGGACTGTGAATAATTCATATGCACTAATCCTCTATACACAATGAAGTTCTCCATGCATGATTACAGAGGAGCCATCAGGAAGAGAAAAAAAAACAAAAAACAAAATGGCTACGGAAGAGCTGTGCAAACGACATCGACTGCAAGCTCATGTAAACATTCAAGAAACGTGTTACATATACACTGCATACACAAAATGTCACCCCTGGATTTAGGTTAGGCCTCAGCTACATGCATGTCATGTTTCTGTGGAAGACAGAGCATCAGCAGACTGACAGCAGATTAAACAATGACATTAATTAACAATATGGTTCCACAAAAGCCAACGACAGTCACAAAAGGACCACTTAAACACAAGACAACCTTTATAAATAGGGTGCTCTTATGGTATACATAGCCAGCAGTTACAGTGGGTACGGAAAGTATTCAGACCC